CTGTATGAGAAGCATTGGATTGGGCCATGCCTCCTCTGTGATGTTGTGAGAGGCAATGCTAATCTATGAGAAGCATTGGATTGGACCATGCCTCCTCTGTGATGTTGTGAGAGGCAATGCTACTGAATGAGAAGCATTGGATTGGGCCATGCCTCCTCTGTGATGTTGTGAGAGGCAATGCTAATCTATGAGAAGCATTGGATAGGGTCATGCCTCCTCTGTGATGTTGTGAGAGGCAATGCTACTGTATGAAAAGCATTGGATTGGGCCATGCCTCCTCTGTGATGTTGTGAGAGGCAATGCTAATATATGAGAAGCATTGGATTGGGTCATGCCTCCTCTGTGATGTTGTGAGAGGCAATGCTACTGTATGAGAAGCATTGGATTGGGCCATGCCTCCTCTGTGATGTTGTGAGAGGCAATGCTAATCTATGAGAAGCATTGGATTGGGCCATGCCTCCTCTGTGATGTTGTGAGAGGCAATGCTAATCTATGAGAAGCATTGGATTGGGCCATGCCTCCTCTGTGATGTTGTGAGAGGCAATGCTAATCTATGAGAAGCATTGGATTGGGCCATGCCTCCTCTGTGATGTTGTGAGAGGCAATGCTACTGTATGAGAAGCATTGGATTGGGCCATGCCTCCTCTGTGATGTTGTGAGAGGCAATGCTAATGCTATATGTGAGAGAGCTATTGAGAAGCATTGGATTGGGCCATGCCTCCTCTGTGATATTGTGAGAGGCAATGCTAATCTAAGAGAAGCATTGGATTGGGCCATGCCTCCTCTGTGATATTGTGAGAGGCAATGTTACTGTATGAGAAGTATTGGATTGGGCCATGCCTCCTCTGTGATGTTGTGAGAGGCAATGTTACTGTATGAGAAGCATTGGATTGGGCCATGCCTCCTCTGTGATGTTGTGAGAGGCAATGTTACTGTATGAGAAGTATTGGATTGGGCCATGCCTCCTCTGTGATGTTGTGAGAGGCAATGCTAATCTATGAGAAGCATTGGATTGGGTCATGCCTCCTCTGTGATGTTGTGAGAGGCAATGTTACTGTATGAGAAGCATTGGATTGGGCCAT